ATTCATGGATGCAATTGAGAAGCAGGTTCAGTGTAAAGTGAGTGACTCAGCAAAATCTGTCGAAACAATTGGCTTTTGAAAATACTAATGAGAATTGCCAAGCTATTCTGTACCCCATTAAGGAAAAGGAGGACATAATGGGGTACATGAAGGTGTGTCGTAGTGTTAGTTCTGTTAAGCATCAGGCGCAGATGAATGCTTTTGAAGCTTATGCAGTACAGAGACAAGCTCAGAATAAATATTTCAGGGGGCTGGAGCCACAGTACAGCGGGTAGGGCATTTGACTTGCATGTGACTGACCTGGGTTCAATTCCCATCATCCCATGTGTTCCCCAAGCACCACCAGGAGTAATTCTGGAGTGTAAAGCCAGGAGTAACCCCTGTGCATTGCTGGGTGTGACCCTAAATTGTGGGAAATCAGGTGACTTTTGAGAGGGAACCCCCTGCTACTTCGAAAGCACCACCCAGGATCTGTGCATGGTATAAGAGGAAAGCACCTCCCAGGCCCTATCCCTGGTGTAAGAGGGGAAACCACTGGGCCAGGGACTGCCATGCCAGATTTGATGCTATGGGTAAACCGATTTCGGGAAACCTGCAAGGGGGCCAGCCCCAGGGTCTGTTAAACCAGGGGACATTCCAGACTGCAGCACCCTCTTCCCAATGTGGAGTTTCAGAGCTCCAGTCAATAGATTCACTGCAGCCAGCCTCAGCAGGGAGTGCAGCCATGGATATCCCCTGCCCTGATACAGTTCTATAACCCCTGCCCAGTATCCCTACAAGTTAAATCCTGGTGTAAAGGGACCAATCCCACGAGACACTTGCGGCCTACTCTTAGGAGAAGCAGTTTGACTGTTAAGGAAATTACTATTCACTGGAGTCATTGATTCAGATTATACTGGGGAAATAGTGATTGTTATCACGGTGCCAATTGTTTGGACATTTGATAAGGGAGAGTGCATTGCTCAGCTTCTCTTACGTCCTTTGGTTATGCCCAGTCAATCTGCTCGCTCTAGGATGGGAGGTTTTTGGCAGCACTAATCCTTTGATGGCCTGTGTCGCCCCTCTTAGGACAACCACCCACTTGTAACTCTTGAGATCCATGGGAACAAATTAAGGGAATGATTGACTCGGGGGCTGATGTCTATCATCTCTACCCAATATTGGACCTGTAACTGGGCCGTGCAGGCAATACCCCACGGTTTGCATGGAGTAGGCATGATGCCTTCTTCCTCTGTCCGGCAGAGTGCCAGATGGTTAAAATGTTTTCGCCACGAGGGCATTACAACCACTTTCCAGCCCTACACAACACCCATACCCCTGAACTCGTGGGGACTAGATTTACTTGAACAATGGCAAGCACAGATTAGGATCCCCACTCTGCCTCCTCCTGTGGCCTCCAATCCTGAGACCACCCACCCTCTTTTTAATAGGGGACACTGCAGCTTTATGCCCGACACCCCTCCATATTCAGTGGAGATCCCACGATCCTGTGTGGTTCCCCCAGTGGCCCCTTAACAATGAAAAATTAAGGGTGTTAGAGTCCTTAGAACCACGAAGTGAAGTTGGGACAACTTCACTTTCAGAATGGAATTCCCCTCTCTTGGTTATCAGAAAGAAATAAGGCAAGTAGTGTTTGCTGATTGACCCTCGGAATGTTAATTCCACCACGGTTCCCATGGGGCCCTTCAGCCTGGCTTTCCTTCCCCTACTGCTACTCCTAAGTATTGGCCACTGGTGGTCATAAATTTAAAACCTGTTTTTACAACACAACATGTCTACTGGGCTTTCCTTGCCCCCGGCTTTTACAGGCTGTGGATTGGACAATGCCAGGACTCCGTGTTTGGACTAACAATTCCCTCCTTCTACCCCTTCCTTGGGATTCTCAGAGGCCTCAGTTCCCAAATGAGGAATTTCTTTTATTTTCTCCCCAGGATATTCCCTTGATACTGTTTGTATTGGAGTGTCTCCCTCTGTTTCTCTCCCCACCAGACTTGGGCTCATATCAAGCCCCTGATTCATACCATCTCTGACCACTTTCAGAAGGTGTTTTCTCTTACGCGCATGCTTTCCAGTGATGTGACACCCACTAATCAGAGCTCTCTAGGACAGCCTTCCCTTCCAGTTGGGAGGCCATCTCTACGAAAGATTGGAAGTACTCGCCTAGGCAGTGAGCAGAATGCCAGTCCCCCCTAGACAAACTCTGTCATCACGATGGCTGGGAGTCCTAGACTGGGGGCCTAGGGACAAGTTTGTTGTGTTGATCATCCTTACTGTGTTAAATGTCATTTTCCTCCTGCAGCCAATTGGTGTGTCTCTTCTCTTTCTAGTTTTCCTTTTAGCTTTCATCCCTAGACCCACAACCTGCTGGAATGGCATGTTGGTCCCCACCGCCCTTGGGCAATTTGTAATGGACCGCTTTACCCCGAACGTTCTGACCTTAGCCTCAAGCCCTGGCAACTATTGGGATGGAGCCATGTGTGTGGCTCCAAGTAGCTCAGTTTTACTTATAACATCAGTCATAACTCCTCTTTCCTTATGAAAGCATGTGTAAAACACCCTTATGTGTTTGCTCGAGGCTCCCTTTCCTTTGACCCTGTCCAGAAAAGAGTTGCTTGTCCTGATTGTGTTTTGTTTACCTGTCTGGATTCCTCCTTCTCGGTCCAAGCTTCTCGCAGTACAATCTTACTAAAGGCCAGATCACATACATGGCTGCAGTGAACCTGGACGGGGAATGGCAGGCGCTCCCCTGCTGCAGGGTTCATGATGGGGTCCTGGTGCTGTCGCGATCGTAGCTCTCCTGGGACCCATCGCTGTGGCCACTACCCAGCTCTTGCAGGAACAGCTCTTTAGAAATCATCCAGACGCTTGATTTCGTCAAAATGTGGCAAAATGACTCTCATCACCTCTGGACAGGGCAGGCTGCCGTCAGTCATGATGTTGAGCACCCACTGGACACTCTACGACATGCACTGCTCTGGGTCCAGGGGCGGGCTGAGACCTTGGAGCAACAAATGAGGCTGTTTTGTGACTGGAAACGTTCTTCTTTCTGTGTCACCCCGCAAAGATACAATGGATCTGCTCATACTTGGCCCAAATTAGATAACATTTGCAGGATCTGAAGGGAAATATGTCTCTGGATACTTGTGCCCTTCAGGATGAGATAGTTTAAGTGCTTAAAGATGATAAACTCCCAGGAGTTCAGTATGAAAACTTAGCCCAGAGTATTGTGGGAATGCATTACAGAACCTCCACCCGAGGTCATGGTGGCGAAGTATCACCCATGCTGTTGGCAATGCTGCTATGGCCTTGTCAATTATGTCCATTTTATTGACTATAGGGTCCTGCCTCTTTCAGAGAAAACTAGTAAATACCGAGGCTATAACCTATCAAGCCTATTATATTTTTGCGTTTTGCAAACAGAAAAGGGAGAGGAACTCACAGGGCTGACTCCTGGTTCTGTGCTCGGGGATCACTCCTGGTGCGATCTGGGGGACCATCTGGGATGCGGGGACTCAAACCCGGGTCACCTGCATCCAAGGCAAGCGCCTTGCCCACTGGACTGTCTCCCCAGACCCCACCCTATGCTTTTCTTCTTTGTCTCTCCTTCTAATTCAGGTTTTCTCTTTTCTTCTGCTACCATTGATTTTATTTTGCTGTTATTGTTCTAGTTCCTTATGGGGTAAAGTCCGATTATAGGTCTGAAATCTATTTTTCTTTTTCTGGTATAGAAAGTCGCAGGACAGAGTCCCCTCCGAGCACTGCCCTCCTTGTCCCACACCATGCTGTCAGCCAACTGCAGTTTTGTTTTTCTGTTTCCTGAAAATATTTTCTGATTTCTCTAGCGATTCCTTCTTAAGACCACTAGTCACCTAAAAGCATGTTATTAATTTCACATATTCATAAATGTTCTGGGTTTTCTTCTGTGACTGATTTCCCGGTTCACTCCTTGGTGAGCAAGGGAGCTTTTTTGTGTCATTTTCATCGCTGAAAACTTGCTGGCCCTGTGGCCTGTGCCTGTCCTGACTGGCCTGCAGGGCTCCTGGGCCCCTCACACCCGGACTCCAAGGGCTGTGTGGCAAGGTGTCTAGACAAGAGCGAAGTCCTCGCTGGCCAGAGGGACTCAGGGGGTCTGTCCAGCCTTTATCGTTCTCGAGTGAGCCCCTACTGGTGCCTCTCCAGCGGGGCCTACGGCTGTGGCCTCAGGACTTTCCTGCGCTTGTGCGTCGGACAGAGGAGAGCAGAACAGCACTATGTTCTTGGCTGGGCATCTGTGTTGTGTGCGTCTGATGTGCTGCCCCTCAGAAGCAGGTCTCTAGATTTTTGAGATTTGGCTCTGTCTTCATTTTCGACAGGCTGCATATGATTTATGATCTTCTCTGAAATAACCCAAACAAAGCTCTTTTTTGGTAAACTCTTCAAACGAAAACACAAACTCAGACATCCTCACTTTTGTGTTGAGTTATTTTGAGGGGTTGGACCACACCCGGTGATGCTCTAGGTTTAGTTCTGGTTCCGGGTCAGTCCAGGCTCAGGGGTCACTTCTCATGGTGCCGGGGATGGAATCAGGCTCAGCCGCCTCTGTGCTCAACTCAACAGCCCCCTGTCGGATTTTGATTCATGTGTGAGTCTGAGACCTGCCTCCCCCTTGACCAGCTTCTGCTCTTATCATTCTTGCTGACTGTAAACCTGTAAAACAGTCTCTGTTTTGTCATTGTGTTTTTGTTTGTTTTTGGGTCATACCTAGCGGTGCTCAGGGCTTCCTCCTGACTCGGCACTCAGGGGTCACTCCTGGCGGTGCTCAGGGGCCTCTGTGGTGTGCCAGGGACTGAACCCAGCTTGGCTGCACGCAGAGCAAACACCCTTCCTGCTGTGCTGTCTCTGTGGCCCCTCTGATGGGTATTTTTATCTTAGAATATTGCCTAACATGGGGAAGAGACCATCCCGGTGGATGGAGCCAGTCAGCCCCCCTGACAGGCACGTCTGTTTCCTTCCTTGGTCAGATGCAAGCTGAAGCTGCAACAGAAGACCATGTCTCTGTGGTCCTGGGTCAACCGGCCCAGCGAGCTGAGGAGGTTCACCAACCCGCTCTATGAGGCCAACAACCTGGTCATCTGGCCCTCGGTGGCGCCCCAGAGCCTGCAGCTGTGGGAAGGTGAGTCTTGCGTCCCTGACGAAGAGCCTGCAGCTTCTGCCAGTGGAATCACTGGCTCTGGTGTCTGTCTCGTACGTTGGCTTCATCTGGTCATCTCCACTGTCCATGTCATGTCGCCAGTAGCTCTCCAGAACATGCATGTTGGGGAGCTGTGGCCCCTCGAGCTGCCATTTCCGGTGTGGCTGGCCCATGTAGCATACCCCTGGCAGGTTGGCTGCCAGTGCCCCTTCCGGCAGGTGTGTCCTGTCTGTGCCCTCGCTATCCATGCCGTCCCTCGCTGGTCCACCTTCACACCCAGATGATTGTGTCTTTGACCTACAGCACCTCTGCACTGTGCTGCTGGCCTTTGGGGGGACCACTCAGAGGGTCTGGAGCACTCACAGCTCCAGAGCGAGGCAACAGAGAGACCAGGTTTAGTGCATTGTTGTTGGGTGTTGTGAGGCCCCGGGAATGCACACAGACGCACACAGGCAGGACATGACCCAGCTCCTGGTCACATCTCAGAGCCCAAATGGGCCCCTAACCTGCACTGGCTTTTGTTTTTGTTTTTGCTTTTGGGGGTCATACCCCTGGGCTGGAGCAATAGCACAGTGGGTAGGGCGTTTGCCTTGCATGTGGCCGACCTGGGTTCGATTCCTCTGCCCCTCTTGGAGAGCCTGACAAGCTACCGAGAGTATCCAGTCCACACGACAAAGCCTGGCAAGCTCCCCATGGTGTATTCCGATATGCCAAAAACAGTAACAAGTCTCACAATGGCGATGTTATTGGTACCTGCTCGAGCAAACCAATGAACAGAGGGAGTACAGTGCTACAGTGGGTCACTCCTGGTGATGCACAGGGGTTCTTCCTGTCTCTGCACTCAGGACTTATTCCTGGTGGTGCTCAGGGGACCATATGGAATGCTGGGAATCGAACCCGGGTCGGCCACATGCAAGGCAAATGCCCTATCCACTGTGCTATCGCTCCAGCCTTTGGTTTATGTTTTGAAGCAGAGGTTGCTGCTCTGTGGAAGCATAGTCTCTGAAGTGGCTGTGGGCACGGCCCGGAGAGGGGGCGGCCTGTGAGGAAGAAAGTGGTCAGCGCCCTCTGACCTGTGCTCCAGAGAGGCCCGTTTGCTGCCACTCTCAGGGGTTGGTCCTGCGCCTGGGTCCTCTGGCTCAGCACCTCTTGCTGCTTCCTCTGCTTCCACCTGGGCGTTGCGTCCATCCAGCTGGGAGGCGGCTCAGCTCTGGTACTCCTCTGGGCTTGATGGCCGGGCCCATTCTGACGGGACGCAGACCTGAGCACCTACAGCTGCCTCCCCGAGGGGGCTTCTGGAACACTCCTCGAAGCCACCCATCCCAGGGGCCCGCCTGCGTGGGGACAGGCTGTGTGGGGAGTGGGACCTGAGACTGGCCGGTTCTCCCAATTAGGGACAGGCAGCAGGGGCCTGTGTGACCCAGTGGCCGAGTTCCTGCCACTCCACCCAATGGTCTGGCCACATGCTGCATCTTCAGCTCAGAGTTCAAGGGACCCTGCTGGGTTCCACCTTCCTGCATCCGCCCCGCGCTCTGGATGCTCCACTAGATTCTGACCTTACAGCGCCTCTCTGCTGCTTGCATCTACATCCCGGGGAGCGATCCCTGGATCAGAGAATGGCCTGTTCATAGAATGATCAATACAAGACAGCCAGACTGGAAGCCAGACTGGAAACCCCTCCCGATTGGGGAGAGCTTGGATCTACACTGAAGGGTGTCTTAGGCCCAGGCAGCTTGGTCTGTACAAGTGTTTAAAAGCATTTACCAGGGGCTGGAGTGATCGTGTAGTTGGGAGGGCACTTCCCTTGCATGCAGTCGAATCCCATGCAGTCCCTGAGCACCACCAAGGGTAATTCCTGAGTGCAGAGCCAGGAGGAACCCCTGAGTATCTCTGGTGTGACCTCCCAGAAACCAACCAGCCAAAACCAAATAAAAGCCTTCATGAACTTCTGGGCTATCCAAGTCACCAGTAGCCAGTGTCACCAATGTCACCACGTGGAGACTTGCCATTCCAGCTCACGTCTCTGCACCCTTATTTGGGGATGCCTGGTTAAGGCTGTGTGGATAGAAAGTGTCTTCTTTTAGATTGATCATAAAGGGTAACTATTATTGTTGGGGAAAGTAGCAGTAGCCTGTGGACTTGGAAGCTCGCCTCGTAGGTCCCAGAGAAAGGCAGAGAGTTTGGGAGCATGGCTTTGCCAGGACAGTGTGGGTGCTTTTCTGCCTGTGCTTCTGTGTTGCTCCAACTTTGGTTGGTAAAAATGATTCCATGCACGGAGGCCTTACATGTCTGGGTATAATAACTTCGTAATTATAAAGAGAACATGTCCTGTCCTGGGGGCTTGAGAGAGAGTCTGACGGCCCAGCAGGCAGAGCGCCTGTTCTCCCTGGCACTGCCGGGAGTGACACCCAGTTCAGCGCCGGAAGCAGCCCCTCAGCAGGGCAAGGTCTGGTCCAGGAGTGAAGAAGCAAAAGCAATGACAAAAGGCTAGAGTTGTGAAGTCAAGGGGCTTCCCGCGCTGCAGCCCGGCAGCTCGTTTCCCCACTCTGTCAACAGTTTTTATCTGTCTCACATTTTGTGGGCTCTTCCACAATTCACGGGCATGTAGGGACAGAAATGTGGATTTCTGTTGTTGTTGTTTTTTTTTTTTTTTTTTTCGGTCAAACCTGGTGATGCGCAGGTGTTACTCCTGGTTCATACATTCAGGAATTACTCCTGGCAGTGGTCGGGGGACCATATGGATACTGGGAATCAAATCTGGGTCGGCTGCATGCAAGGCAAACACCCTACCCGCTGTGCTATTGCTCCAGCCCCAGAAATGTGGATTTCTTGGGCACTGAGTGACTGTATACACTCCCGGAATACGGCTGAATCCCTAGTTCAGAGGCTCTTAAGCCGTGTGAATAATGAGGTCGGGTGGGGATGTTGGCTGCTAGTGTGGCGTCTTCTCTGCAGAGGGGTGTTTAACCTGTTGTGTGTATCTCTCCCTCTGCTCTCCGTGCCTGGTTCCACAGGAGTGTTCCTGCGTTGGAACAGATCCTCCAAGTACCTGGACGAAGCCTATGAAGAAATGGTCAATGTCATCAAGTATAACAAGGAATTACAGGCCAAGGTCAACCTCCTTCGGAGGCAGCTGGCAGAACTGGAGACCGAGGGCGGGGTGGAGGAGACCCCCTGAGTGACCCCACCTCCTCAGGACCTGAGCCCCACCCCCGCCCCATGCCCGTCAGCCCCCTCTCCCCGCGTTGGACCCCTCAATACTCACGAGTGAATGCTGCTGTCATGTGTGTGCGTCTGTGGCCTGGTAGGTACTTCCTGCGCAGGAGGCGGGCAGGAGGCGCCATCACCAAATCCCAGTGGACAGAGGGACCTGCTTGCCCCGGGCTCACCTGCCTTTTGTCAGAAGCTTCTCAAGGCGTTGGGAGGTGCAGAGCTGCCCAGGAGATGCGCGGCCTCACCCGGGAAGGGAGCTGAAACGTTTCAGCCAGAAACGGTTTGACAGATCACGATCTCTGAGTTTGCCGAGCGGCCTCCCGCCGTCTGTGGCACGTAAAATAGCCATCCTCTTTAAACAGCTCTGGACTAATGAAACAAGCTCGCACTCGATCTGGTTTGTCAAGAACGGAAGTTCGCAATACATTTTCAAGGTGAATTTTCTTTAGGAGGGCAACAGGGAGAGCCCTCTTGGTCCTTACATTTGGAAGCGAATTTTGTTTTTTAACGGTAGACACTAAAAGAATGTGCAATAGGGGGGTCAAGCTACTGTTACTGATCCCACTAGGGCGTTCTTCCTGCCCCTGGCTCTGCGCTCAGGCTGCCTACAGGGGCACCCTGGACCCAGCCGGCCACCGTCCTGTAGGGGAGGTGCCTCCTCTGAAAAGCTCACTGCCCGGCTTGTGTTTTGTTTCTCTTTCCTTCTTTAATGTGCTTTGAGTGTTTGTTAAGGTAAAACTGTGGTGTTACCTTGAACTTTGGGGAAATGTCTGCGATCGTGGGCCAGGAGGCCCCGGGCGGGGGTAACAGCTAGGAGCAAGATGCAGCGTGGCGTGTGAAGCTTCGGAAACAGACTCCCAGTGTTGGCTGTGGTGGTGGTGACCCCACTTCTGCCACTCCATGCTACTCTCTCCACCTGTTCCCCCCCCCCCCCCCCCCATGGTGGCCCTGTGTTCTCTCAGCACGCTTGGCCGTGACCCTGTGCGCCTTCAGGACTCCCGCACGTGTGCGTACCCTCTGCAGCGCGGGAAGCACTTACCTTGCATGTGGCTGACCATGGTTCATGCCGGACCCCTCCAGGAGTGATCCCTGAGCACAGGGCCGGGAGTCAGCCCCGGGCACCCTTGAGTGTGGCCCCAAAGCAGGATTAGCTGTATACAAGCATTCCAGCATGAAACTCACCCAGACTGAACATTCCTAGAGTTACATGCCGAACCATAAACATGCTTTTAACCAGGACTCTGGAGCCAGCACTGCCCGGCCCCCTCAACGCCCCCAGGAGTGGCTCAAGGGGAACAAAAGTAAGAATGAAAGTAAGAAGGAGGTTCTGGCTAAAATTTGTGGCCACTTGGAGGCCTCAGGAGTGGCCAGTTCTTCCTCCTGCTGTCCCCCCCGCCCCCCCCCCCCCCGCGGGCTCGCCAGCAGCCCTGCCCCGGCCCCTCTCCCTCTCTCTCCTACAGGCAATCTTATTCTTGGCTGGTTTGAGGCTGGGGGCTGTGGTTTGCACTCGGGCCTGGAGGCCTCAGCAGAAGGGACAGAGTCGTCCCCATCTTGAGCACTGTTTGAAATGCTCTCCTGTGTCTGCCATAGGAATTGTCCCTGTGTGTCTTCCTGGGGAGTCACGCCCAGCCTTCCCACCCCACGTCCATCACGCAACTGGACAACCCTTCCACTTCCTCCCAGGCCTGGGGAGATCCTTTCCTGGCCACACTAGCAGCTTTGGACGTGCCCCCTCCCACACCCCCGCCACACCCCCTCCCCCGCCCCGACTCTGATGGGCAGGTGGGTGGATCCGTGGGTGGACCCGGGAATGTGTCCTTGGGCCTGGTCAGGCTGGACACTTTGTCTCTGGCTCGTGCTCCTCAGGACCGTCCCTCGCCACCCAGAGCCAAGGAATACCTGGACAGTACCTGGTGCTTGGGGCTGTTTGGTGGGTTTGCATTTTAACTTTCACCTTGTCCTGGGGGAGGGCTGAGGCCTTTGCAGTGTCTGCAGGTGGTAGGAACAGGTGTCTGGGACGGCCGCACACATTCTATGGACATTTTCAGCCCTTTGTGGTGCTGATGCCTGCCAGCTGCGGGCTGGAGAATGCTGTGGTGCAGTGCCCCTGGGAAGACACTAGGGACGTGAGGAGAGGGGCCACAGAATCAGGCGTCCACCCACTCCCCTGATCTCGTCAGTGATGGCTTAGGGATGGAGAGCTGGGTCCTGCGTGCTGCGCACCACCGACAGGGGTGAAGGATGCCCCACAAAGACTGTCTGTGAGCACCCAGACCTGCTGCCCTTCTCTCTCCATTGTACTCAGGTCTCCGTGAGGGGATTCTTAAGAGGCAGAGTAACATGGTGATTCAGACTGGAACATTGGCCCCTGCCGCTGGCCAGGGTCCCTGCATTCACATGGCCCCACAGCTGTGCCCTGGAATCACTTCTATTTGTTTTTTAAAGACCTCTCAGTAATGGGAAATTTTCATTGTAATTTTATTAAGTGGGAAAGAAGGAAATTGTAAAATCCAGTAAAGTTTAAAATAACCGATAAATATGTACTGTTTCTCAAAAACAGCATTGGATGAAGCAAATTTTAAAGTGGCATTTGGGAGAAGGTGCTTCTGTTCTCGCTCTGGCATGTCGCTTCTTACCAGCTCGTAATTTTACGGGACTCGCCACCTTACGGCACCCATGGGAACTTCTCTCCGTGTTCCCCCTAGGTAGCGGGAAGTACCACTTGCTCAGAGATCAGTTTTGTTGTTTCAGTTTTCTTGGATGGTTCCACCTTTGCCTTTACACTGCCTTCACAGTCCAGTGTACAGGGCATGGTCTACTGGGTCAGTGGCACGGGGTAGAGCACGTATGTGCTTTGCATGTCTATCCCGGGCCCCCTCTGCAGCACCACCGAAACCCAACGAAAACTAGTGGCCCCGCAGCGCAAGGCTGGTGCAAGCCCGTCTGCACCCAGACCAAGCTCCCGCTGGGAAGCCCTGTGCCTCTCCCGCACTCCCATGAGAAACTGCCCTGTGCTCACTTTCCCGGAAGACGTTGGCACCCACCATCGATGCTTCCCTGTCCTGAAAGGCGATGGCTGGTGAGGCGCCACTGAGGATCTCCAGACTGACCCTGTGCAGCTTGTGAGAAAAACGAGTTGTTACCTTGATGCCCTGTGGCCATCTGCCCGAGACACCTGCTGCCCTCTGGAAATGGCCCTGCTGTGAGCTGGCCACAGCGGCCCACCCGCCCAACCACCGATATCTGGAATCCGCCAGCCCTGGGCCTGCCTGCACTAAGACTGTCCCTGCACAGCGCAGTCCAGATGGACCTTGTATTCCTCAGTGGCCTGCTGTTGGGTCCTATTCTTGGTTTGTGTGGATGTGACTCGGGTATAAGTGCACTGTCCGTGTCTTACACAATAAGCTCGTTCTGTGCAGCAAAAGTGTCTTAAGTGCTTGGCTAACGCCGCAGAGAGCTATCATGTATGGGCTTCTGTGTTGTGAGCCTGATAATATCTCCATGTGTATAAAATCCTGGGAGGAAGGCTGAACTCCCCTCCGTCTGTGGGATATCCGACTGTTCCTTGTAGTGTTCTCTCAGTGGTAGGTTCACTGATGTCCCCAAACGAGACTCCTTCATCTTGGTGGTCTCCGTTCACGGAATTGAGAGTCTTGTCAAAGGTTTTCTCTTAGATGCAGGGCTGCGTAAGCTCTTCTCTCTGTCTCCCCGGACTGGGGGCACAGAGGCTGGTGTTGAATTTCTGTAGAAAATGGTAATAAAATTTGAATATATTGCTGGTAAATGAAACCTCTCTGTTGACTTTTTATTTTACACAAATGTCTGTGAAGAAGCCCAGTATCTCAACCGCTAGATAGAGTTTGGAAGAATTTGGATCTGTGAGAGAAGTTGCCAGATGGTACAGTTGTCCTCAATGGTTCCCCTAATCCATCACACTTTATTATATCTGCTCTAATATGTGCATGTGTATGTGTGAATGTGATTGTATGCGTGTGAGTGTGTATATGTGTGAGTGGGTAGGTGTGTGTATGAATGTGTGTGTGAGTGCGTATATGTGAATGGGTAAATGTGTGTGAATGTGTGTGTGTGAGTGGGTAGGGGTGTGTGTGTGAATGTGTGTGTTTGGGTGTGTATGTGTGAATGGGTAGGTGTGTGTGTATGTGTGAGTGTGTATGTACGAGCGTGTGTATGTGTGAGTGGGTAGTTGTGTGTGTGAGTGGGTAGGTATATGTGTGTGAATGTGTGTTAGTGTGCATGTGTGAATGTGTGTGTTAGTGTGTGAATGTGCGTATGTGCACACATGACTGTTACTTTGCTGAAACATTTGAAGTGAAGTCTCAGCTCAGTGTATCCACCTCCAGAGCCGCGGAGTGTGCAAGTACAGACTATTCCCTCCGGATGCTTGGGTATGAATCAACCAGTGATGGTATTGTTAAAAAAAAGGTGTAAACTCCTGGGAATATATCCCAGAGAGGCAAAAAAGTATAGCCGAAGTGACATCTGCAATTGTCTGTTTATTGCAGCACTCTTTACAATAGCCAGAATCTGGAAAAAACCTGAGTAACCGAGAACAGATGACTGGTTGAAGAAACTCTGGCACATTTACACAATGGAGTACTATGTAGCTGTTAGAAAAGACGAAGTCATGAAGTTTACATACAAGTGGTACTACATGGAAAGTATCATGTTAAGCGAAATGACTCAGAAAGAAAGGGATAGACATAGAAAGATTGCATTCATCTGGGGAACATAAAGTAACAAAATAGGAAACTAACACCCAAGTATGGCAGAGATTAGTACCAGGAATTTTACTCAATGACCCGGAGGACAACCACACATGTTAGGGGAAGGGGGAGCTCAGAAAGAGAAGGGAACACCAAATAGAGGGTGTTGAGAGGATCCGCCCATGATGGGAGAGCATGCTGAGGGTAGACTGTCGACCAAGCATGATTGCCACTCAATGCCTCTTTTGCAGACCATGGCACTCAAAAGGAGAGAGAGGGAAATGCCCTGCCACAGAGGCAGGGTGGGATGGGGGCTGGGGGGGAGGGGATGCTGGGATCCGAGGTGGTGGGAAATGCGCGCTGGTGGAGGGATGGGTGTTTGATCATTGTATAATCGAAACCCAAGCACAAAAATGTGTAAGTCTACAACTGTACCTCATGGTGTCTCACTATTAAAAAATAAATAAATATAAA